TCAGTCCTTTCAAACTTTTCATCCACAAGAAAATCTAAAACAATTCATACACCACTCTGTAGATCATTCGCAGCATGCGTATAGTTCACCTCGGTATTATAGGCTGATGGTACATGCTTATTTACCTCTATTTCCTGAAAACCAGTTCCGATGTTTGCACCAGGGTCATGAATAGAATCCGATCCTTTACAAGCAGAAGTATCCAGGTTTGGAATCAAGTCCTTGTCTGCAAAATCTGCACTATAAGGCACATACATAGTTTGCAAAGTGGGTGAATATTCTTGCAATACTGGAGCAAACTGCTTAAGCTGCACATCAACTTCTGCCATCTCTGCATCACATGCATTTTCAGATGGTTCAATACTCGCGAACTGCGACTTCATAACTTCACTATCAGTTTTGACGAACTTAACAATCGCATTTTCACTTTCTTCCACTTCAGGCACTTCAGAATCAAAATCTACTTTCCCGTCTCTTATTTCTTCGTGTTTTCGTTCTTTATCTGTAATCCCGTTAGTTGTTTCAGCTTTCATTTCTGGATCTTTCTCAGGCAGTTCGCTAGCTACTAACTTTCATTTCTTCCTCCTTGGATTCTCCTAATGCCACTACTCTCATTTTCACATCTTCTTTTATGGCTCCACTTTCTTCTGCAAGCTCCACTTTCAGCTGTTGGAGGAGTTGCTCTCGCACCTTTTCTCGGACGACATTTATTTCTTCTCCCCCGGCTTTCTTATCTTCCAGTCCCGCTTTCATCTCTTTCAGTCCGGCTTTGATCTCAGCTGCCATCTCTTTATATCCAGTTTATATCTCTTTATATCTAGCTTTTATCTCAGCATATTCGGCTTTCAACATTCTCGCTGTCTGGCTTTCATCTTTTCTTGGAATTCAGCAAAGGCAGTTGCACGAGCTGTCTTAATAGATCTTCTGTTGGCTCTTGTCATTGGCATTCACCCTCAAACCCCACTCCTGACACCAGTTGTTACGTTTTTTCCTTTCTTCACGTTCGCACGGGGTTCGTAGATTTGGAGTGAATAACGACGACACTTTAGGAAGTATCGAAACACACTTTATTAGCCAGTATTGTCAGGACAGCTCCAAAACTGGTTTTACAGTCGTCGAAGATCTACTATAAACACGCTGGAACAATCAGCGACACAGAAGGGTTATCAGGCTATCACGGTGGAGACAGCTTCCTGCAAAGCACCCGACTCTGCTTTCCGGAGTGCAGCTCCCGACTCTGCTTGGTCGTTCTCGGAACTCCACGTACTCTCGAGACTCTCCACGTCACAACTCGCGATGCACTCGACGACACACGAGCACAGCTCCTGACTCTTCGGTTCAGTTTTTCCCGGAGCTCAACACGCTCTCTCGACGATGCACTAACCGCGATACTCTACGAGACTCTTTCGGTGCACTCGACGACCCACTCGGCACTCGCTGGCCGGCTGTCAACGCGATCACCTTCGCAGGGATTGACTCGCTAGACGAGATACACTCACTCGATGAGAGACGCAAACTAACTGACTGCGGACCAGCAGGGCTTATATAGCTTTTGGCTTGTGTTCGGGAACATTCTGGGCTAAACCGGTAAGAATTCGTTCCAGAAGGTTCTCCAACCGTCCATGGTATATCGCCAAATTTGTCACCAAATGGGCGATTTCTCGCCAAATGTAGCAACCCTGCCCTTCTTTGCCATCTCACCGCGCCTTTACATTTCGTAACAATATTTTACACCATGTATATTACAATGCTTAGTACCATAAGAAACAAATTTTGACTTCGTATTTATTTCAGTTTCTGCCTTCCATGCCAAACACTCATAAAATGAATTAAATTCTAGCGCAGTATGATTCATATCAACATCATGAACATTCTTGAAATGAAATATTTTTTCTCGCTTTTCAAAATTAGCATAACATAGAGGACACACATAATTACCTGTTTGATTGACTTTCGAAGTATGAATTTTATTTTGATGATATTTCAAATTTTTTAGGTCACTAAATTTCAGATGGCAGTCCTCACATTTATAGCTTAGTGATCGATCACTTTTTAAAGAATCAATTAATGCAGTATTATTAGAGTGTAATTTATTTGCATGGCGTTTCAAATTGTATTTATTTTTGAAAGTTTTCAAGCAATCAGGGCATACAAAATTACTCTCTGCCAAACTAAAATCATTTGCACAATCAACCATACTACTAAAACTTTCCCCATGACACACAACAGAACTTTGATTTTTTAAAGATTCAATTAATGTAGTATTACTATGATGAAATTTATATACATGGCGTTTCAAATTGTATTTATATTTGAAAGTTTTTAAACAATCAGGGCAAACAAAATCATTCTCAGCCACACTAAAATCATTTTCACACTCAACCATATCAGTCACAACAGACTCAGAATTATCACATATACTAGAATTGGAATTCTCCCACACGATTACTCTTTCCAGATTTTGATTCCATTCAAAATCAAAAATTCCTTCTGAGGAAACAGAAGTATTTGGCTGTAAAATACTTCTCTCAGCCACACTAATATCATTTGCACAATCATGCATACCACTCACAATAGAATCAGAATAATTGGAATTATCGCACACCTGAGGAAACAAAATTCCTTCTGAGTAAACAGAAGTATTTGGCCCTGAAAAGGGCCGTTTTTCTTGATTTTGTGCAGAAGACATGAAAATCAAAGTAAAATATAAAAGAAAAATGTTCAGCAATCACACGCAATTAGAGCAGTGCAAAGAGCAGAATAAATAATAGAGTAATAAGGCACGCTTGCGCGCCTTCAGGGAAATGACGACATACGCAGTAATCTGCGCAGATGTTCAGGGAGGAACCAAGAGGAAACTAGCGTCTGAGGGGCTAGACGCTTGTCACCTCAGCGGTAACGAGCATAGAAGAAATTCTCGGTCTTCAAATCGTCGGTTCTATCCCCGCTCGTGACTCTTATAAACTTTGCCCTGCACGGATTTATTTTTATTCTCACTTTATTGAATGATTTTGTCATTATTGGTCTTTTCGATTTAGGGTGCGGTGTTAAAAATTTGACATCTTTATTTTCTCTATTTTTGTTAACACTAATTTTGCTTATTTTTGTACTCTTTGTAGTAGGTACCAGTAGCAAGATTACGATCCAAGATCCCGAAAAGCGTTTCAATAGAAATAGCGTATAATGGAAGAACATATAATTTTAGCTACACTTACTCATAATTTACGTAAAAAGAATTAAATTCTACTGCTAAATTAATTCTTTGAACGTTCTGCCTCAACTTCAGAAAAAAGTCTTAGCACACAAATTGCACTGTATCCAATATGCTCTCTACTTGCTCCTGGCAATGTTAACATCTACCTCTGGCTATCGATCACCACTCAGCTGCTGCACTCCTACGATGAAGCTGTACATCTCATCACAGAGTAACTGTCGAAAATATCTCGCTTCAACATTTTACGTGTATCTTATATTGACTACTGCATCTTATCGGACTTGAAAAAATTGCTACAAATTTGCTATCTGCTGCTACTGAATTCCCATAACTTTTTCTTCCTTTACCATGTGTTGCTCAAAACATCACATTATGCTCTTCAATGTTCGGAAAGTTATTTACATATTACATTGGGATAAGGAGTCTTCCCAGGAGCCCAAGGAAATGAACTATGCTCACGAAGCGAAAAAAGTCCTGATAAATTTCTATTACTTTAGTCCCTCCCCCCTTTTCGGCTCATCCTATTCCAATAATTTTGTATGGCTATGAAAATCCTCCCCTTGCTCCTTCCCCACCATTGCCTGCCAATAGTTATTACTCCACCATGCCTATCTCTCTTCCAATTGCTTTAGCTCCTGCAGTCACCTGACCGTCCTACCTCCTCTACGCCGTGAGCAGCAGTCACTTCAGTCTAGCATCGCCGAAAACTTAAGAATTTGGAAGACGAGATCGAACAGATACGTTCCTCCGTTAGATGCTACTAGAAAAACCATCCTGTTACAGAAGAAGACGCTATTACCGCCCTGATGTCGAAACTTCTGAAGGAGTTGAAAGTCGAAGCAGACGTATTAAGAGGTAAGTGCAAATTTCTTAGTTCTTCAGGCATTAACACCCCCTAAATCAAAGAAACAGGAAAAAATTTCTGAAACTAATAGTAAACGTAGAATTAGTCTTAATACTGAAAGTACTGATAGTAACGGCTTCCAATTAGCTACTAAAACGACTAAATTGCAAAAATTAGAAAAAGTTAATGATAATATTGAAACTAGTAATGAATTTAATGTATGAAAGGATCAAAGGGTCACTGATAATAATATTGATGATGCTACTGTTAACCAAGCTGTGCAGCAGCAGACGAGCCCCCAACCCTAGGGCTGTTCCGCCCATTATGGTCAATCCAGGCGATCTAACGCACGAGGATTTTCTAAAAGAACTTGCTAATATCATTGAAGCCAAATTCTTAGGAAACGTTAAAGGAGAATTGCTTAAAATTCTACCACATAGTCAGGAAGATTATCGAACGCTCACTGCACTGTTGAAAAGCAAGCATATAGAGCATTATGTTATTAATGCCATGCATGACCGGCCGATTAAAGTCGTCATTAGATCGACCAAAACTGAAAATATTATTAATGCCCTGACTGCCAAAGGTTTTGCAATCGCCAAAGTAACTCAGCTCACCAGAAGAACAAGAGCGCCAATGCCGTTATTTTTGGTTCAAGTCATCAAGAACGAGAATTCCGACAACATATACCATCTGAAGGCCCTTCTACTTTTCTCAGTTGAAGTGGAAAAATTTGTCTTGAAAAGCCAAGTGCCCCAATGTTATACCTGTCAGCGGTGGCACCATTCCTCTGAGAATTGCTTCTTTAACTTCGCTGTGTAAAATTTTCACTCGGCCACTACGCCCGGACGCATAGAAAATCCGAAGTGTAGCAACTGTCTCAAAATCACACAGCGTCCTATCGTGGATGCCCTAGATTTCCAAGAAGCAAGCCATCGCAGCCAAGAAAAAATTACCAAGTCAACTAGATCCAGGCAACAACGGGAGAGAGTTGTCCCGATTCCGCCAAGAACAGCTGCTATCAAGCGTCCGGAAGTACAATCAGAAGTTAAGAAGTTCTTAAAGGGTCATCAAACAGGCAAAAAAAGAAAGCTCACTGAGGAAGGAACTGAAGGGCCTACCTTTATCGCCAAAAAAGCGAGAAATGAGTTTTACCTATTTTGTTACTATGTTTTTCACAAGGAGGTTAGAATAGGAGAAGGGAGGATTCGTAGTTTCCTCCACTATCGGAGAATGAAACTCCCCCAAACAAGCGGCGTCCATGTTAGTAACTTCAAAACATTGAACTACGGCAGTGAAACGTACGTGTTTTTAAGCTGTCCGTGTTTTAGCTGTAAAAACATTAAAATGTATTTAACATATTTTTATTATTAAGTCCTTTTTTTTCACATCTGGAAAGAAAACATGATATTGTGCTATTTTTTACCATAGTTATCAAATTACATAAGAAAAAAAAAAGAAACTCAATACTTACGCGTGAAAAGTAATCCAAGGAATCTTTTTAGAAAACTGTTTGTACATCCAATATACAACACAAGCTGACATGCTTCAAAAAGGAAAGGAAAAAAATATTGCAATTACAGATTTCCTTGCACAAGTCACAGAGATAACAGGAACATGGCCGCCAAGCTTCACCGTTTGAGTTGAACCTTCCCTCATTCTATTCTAACCTCCTTGGTTTTTCAACTACTCGCGAGTAAACTAAAATTATTGTATAATAGGAATGTGTAAATACTTGAGTATTGTAAAAGCTTTGGTAATCTATGAGGAAGGTACCTTAAGAAAATTGTAAAATTATTGTATAAAATTTTATTAAAAAAAAAAATTCTGTCAAGAAAAGAAATTTTAGTCTGAAGGACTTTTGAAATGTAGTATTTAAATGTAGAAAAAGAATTGCACTTGCTTTGAAGAAGATAAGAAGTTAACAAACATGTACTACTAATATTATGTTTTAAATGCGTAAAATTAATGGCATGTTAATATGTTCTTATGTACAATGTGAAATGTTATCTTAAAAGTTAAGAAGTACTGTGATATGTTAAAATGAAAATGTTGTAGTAATGCCAAAATTTTAACTTATTTGTATGACTGAAAAAAAAAAAGAGTTAAGCATGGTGAATATGTGCTAAAGGTTGAATGAACGTAGTTAGGCTGTCTGACACTACACTTCAGAGTTAGCCACTTCTTGAGAATAGTACCTCAGGGTTCAGAGATGAATATAAGGTGTATTCTGAGGTCCTGTTATGTTGAATTTTAACACGTTAGTGTTTTGATTGCAGGTGGTAGTGTTGAACATTTGTAAATAGACACGCACGTGTTGGGTGTTTCTCTTTACAACACATGTCAGAGAGCACGGGGAGATAATTAAATAATGGCATGAATGAAATAAGAATAGTTTTAAAAGAAAGATATACGTGTTCATGTTACTTGCCATTTGATTGTTTTAACGTTTCATTAAACTAGTTTTCCTTCTAGATCTCTGGAAGGAACCAGATTCAACTAAGAAAAACTGTTTATAGATGCAGTACAGATGAAAAGTAATTGTTCATGGAATTGATCATGTAAAAACGACTTTTTAATTTCTAAATTAGATAGTTTCTAGTGAGGAATGTTTGTAAAAGATTGGCCTCGTGTTAGATTTAGAATCTAGAGCTAAAAGTTTTCAACAAGGTCATTTTAGACCTCCGTTTCAAACTAATTAACTCTGGTGGGAACTATGTAAGGATCCTAAGTTTTACTAACGTTTATTTTATTTTAAAACTTTACTATCACTTCTTATTTTCTACTTCCGGCCAGAATTAAATGCTTTAACTTGTTTATGCAAATTGTCTTGCTAACACCCAAGTATTTAAGTTGTGGCTTTTTGCCAAGAGTTAGGGAGAGAGAAGGAGATTTAGGAAGCAAGCCGCTTGCCACTGCAGTTTAACGAGTTTTCATTCAGTTGCTGGTTGCCTTTAAGGCCAGAGGTTTAGCCCTCTTGATATTTGAGAACGTATTGTAGTTTCAGCAGCTCGGCGAACTACATACATACCCTTTTAAATAAAGGCCAGTCTTAGTGCTAGGCATTTGTATACTAATTCAAAGTTAGCTTTTAGTTAGTAGTTTTATATTCTTATGTTCAGACCACAAGTGGTTGGTCTCTGTATTCCGGAAGTACCTGCAAAGTATTGAAAATAAAGGGTTTCGTATACCGTTACTGCTTGTGTTGTCTGTTATACACAAATCTTGAACACATAGCTTGAGTAAACTCCCTGTTCTTATTCAGGACACACCATGTTTCCAAAGCAAATCAAGAGAAACTTAAGTCCTGATAACATTAGATTAAAATAAAAGATTATTTAAAACCTTATCTTGTATTTCTGAATATTTAAGATGTAATGATGACTTGCTAATCTAGTAGGATCAGCAGGATTTAGCTTCCAGATTAATAGCAACCCTACAACATTTAAAAATTCATCTTTCTTAATGTGCTTTGTTACAGAATAAATTTAAAGACGTACGATAAAAAATATATTTCCACTATGGAATTCAAGAGACAAAAAACAAAAAGAAACATTTTAACTTTTTTTATGCAACAAGTAGGAAATAAGTTCTACATTAAAAAAAAGTACTAAAAGCAGTCTACAGAAAGAAGTCACGAAAGTTGACTTCTCATTTCAGTGAACAAAAAAAAAAAAAAAAAAAAAAAAAAAAATCTTTTAAATGTTTAGAAATTATTTTTCAAACTAAACTATGAGACTTAACAATTTTACATGAGCACGCGTGCGCCGTATTTTTTTACGACATCCGTTATTTTACCGTTTTTGGCGCGAAAAATGACAGAAATAAGTTATTATTGATAAAATATTTGTTAAAAAATAAAATATTAATCTTATTATTGTAAAATACAAATGATATTACATTCAAATATAAGTAAATTATTTTTAAGTTCTTATGCTAGTGAGATGGAAATACAATGATGTAATTCATTATAGAAAATTTTAAATTTATTATTTAATTATATTTTAAAATCGAACCTAATTTTAATATTCATCAAAGACAAGTATAGACAATAAAAAAGGAAACCACCTTGGTAGGAAAAAAGGTAAGTTTAGCATTACTTTACTTCTGCAAGGAAATTTACTTCTTACTGGTTACAAAAACACACTTTAAACTAACTTTAATGTTTTTATTTATTTCTAAAAAGTAGAAATAAAAGAAAATAAGAAATATTCAATATTTAGAAAGAAAGAAAGAAATGGAAATCGCTATTGTTCTTCCATCCAAAGGTTTCCTTATCTTCCTTTTCTTCATCAGATAATTCTTGAAGAATCCGAGCAAAATCAGCTGGTTGCACATATTGTTTTGCCTTGAAAACCGATATAAAATTTACAGAGCCAAATGTATTCAAATTAAAAGAATACACAGCAATTAATAATGCAAAATTACAAAATATTTGAGAAAAAAAATATTTTCCAAATTTTAAAACACGACCACGCGCATGTCGCAACTTTTATGAAAAAGCTACCAAGTAGCACAAAAGCCCAGTTAAAAAAAAAAAAAGTCAAATGACTTCCTGTTGGTACATTCCATGATGTGGGAAAGGGTAGAAAGGAGAAATAGAAATGACCTTCAGGCATCCCAGCTTTGATATGCGAAAAATGTGCATTAAGAACTGAATTTGTCATAAATTTTGTGCATAAACGCATGCTGGAAAGTTAAGTATGATCCAGCCTTCCTTATCTTATCACTATATTTTAACTTGTTCATTTGTGCTTTTGTAGCTGAGGATGATGTTTCAGTAAAACCATCAAAGCAAGTCCTCTGAAAATTTGAAAATATAAGGATGATTTTTGTTGTTTGACTTCTAAGTTAATGAGACTTAAGTCTCAGCAAATAACAGAACTGCAATATGATTTGAATAAAAGAGTTGATACAGTTAATCAGTTTTCATTCAATAGTTAGAACTTTAAAATTAGAAAGGAAAATTAAATAACTGATTACAAGTTAAAAAAAACACAAATAAGAGAAATATTAATTAAAAGTTCTTAAAACCTTCATTTTCGCCCTCATTTTTCTGAGTGCCAACAGTGCTGATATCAGCAACAGTGATGTATCAGCAACAATGGCTGTGTGCTATTGTTGCTGATATAATGAGACAGAATTAGTTTATTTCCATCAAAATTTTTATGTGGGTTCCACTTCACTCAAAATAATGATGTAGTATTTGTTTTTATTTTTTCTGACCCAAATGGGAATTCCATATGTCATATGGTTATATATACCATATGATTCTATGATTACATAGTCAGTTGTGGTACAAATATTGAATATTACTTTTTGTTTCTTTGGCATTTTTTATGCATTACAATGATACATCATATTCCTCATGACCTGTAATATGCTATTAACAAATTTCCAAATGATATCATGAGTAAAATAATACATTACTCTTAATCTAACTTAACTGGCATACGACACTTCCACTAGTGAATGAATAAAGAAGTTTAATTTTTATATTATAAAACTGCTTTATTAAAAAACATGCACAGTCATAAGAATAGTCTTTTCAAAGATAATGATGAACATGGATATATACTATTTAGTGTACCAACAACTCCAAACAATTTTTTGAAAGAAAATGTATTATTTTACCATTTTCTATGTAGCACACTGATATAAATCTTCAAAAATTTATTATAAAATACATACTTAAAATTAAATTTTGTAGTTTTATTGAGGCTTTCATATGTAATAACGGGAAATACTAAATCCAGAAAATGCAACACATTACACTATTAAAGCAAACATCAGAAACTGACATTTAAACATTGCTTAACCAGTGGCAAATACTTGACACAATACATTACAAATATGATATTACCAATACATATTAGGTTTTTATTATAATTTCTAATTTTAAAAGTGTCTGAACCAATTCTAAAAATATAATGAGAATCTTTTATATTGCATGATAATGAACATATAATTTTATTTCTATATAGCATTTTTCTATAAATAAGGTAAAGGAAACATAAAATGAGAAATCATAATGCAACAATGCATCATTTTTCAAATAACCAAAGTCAGAAATATGTATACTCCTGAAAAGACACAGGGGCAAAAAAAAAAAAAAAAAAAAAAAAAAAAAAATTCTCAAACAATATAATCTTAGTTATATAAAATCTTTTAAAAGCTTTTAAACTATACTTTTAAAAAAGCATTTTAATAATTTTACCAGTCTAGAACTTCTAAAGCTTCTATGACATTAAGTATAAAAACTGAGTATTTTGTAAAAATATGAAAAATGTAAAAAAATAGCTTTAGGACTATAAAATGATTCACATGCATAATTTTCCTGACATACAGTCACATTTAATCTCAACCATTAAATAACAAACTGTGATTTAAAATTACCGTACATTCTATTGCAAGTAAAATGCTAATATAAATTTAATTCCAGGATATATCTTCGTCTGATAAATGAGCTTTAAAATCTTGTAAAGAATGTAGGAATTTACGTCTTCCTTGTGAAGTTACGTTACATTGGGTCCTGACATTTGGTATAATGATTTTTTCTTCTTGAACTTTAGATGACATTTTAGAAGGTTTTTGAGAACAGTTGCCTTGATTATGTATCCCTTTCTAAATCATGAAGAAAATATAATTCAGAAACACTGAATAGTAACATTATATTCAAATGACATTTAAATTATTTAAAATAACATAGTGAAATCATTGCATTAAAATAAATTAAAAAGTCATTACTGTAGATCACTATGAAAGAACAAATTTATATTCCAAACCAGATACAGAAATTATTGAACATAAAAACAAAATATTTTAGTATTTGGAAATAATTACAAACGACAGTTCACCGTACAAACAGAGCATCTCAAGAGGAAGAATGATGATTGTTTTTTTCTTGAAATATATTCTTACTAGGTAATTTAAATAAAATGAAATGTAATGCTAAATGGCATGCAAATGATTATTTTGTATTAAGATATATAAACCCTTGCCAAACGTGAGGTTTGTGTCATTAATACATTACGCGTACAGCAAAATAGTGTTCCACAAAGTTAACTGCCTATGAAAAAAATGGAGTAGGTATATTTCAGATTAAGTAGGTAGCTATAATTTAAATGAACATAAATACTGTTGTAATGAAAAGGAAACAATGTATTAATTGAAAGAATTTTTATTAGAGCATAATAAATATATGATTTAAAAAAAAAAAAAAAAAGCTGATGATTTTTTGCTCAGGACAATGACTGATGCAACTCTTTAAAAGTTTCACAATAAGGAGTGCTAAATTTTTCAATGTCTCTCATGAAGAATTCTCTTCTTTCTTCTTTTGGGTCAATAGTCATTGTAAAATCAGACAATTTCTGTTTTTTTTTAAACAATTAATTTAACTTCTTGTAAATAAACGAGCTTTATAATCTGCTTCTTTATCGCTATTCTCATTGTCAGATGGTGTTATAAGATTATCCATTCTTCATTTGTCATTTCTTGATATTCATTTCTCAACTAACTCTTTGCCTTCTTCCTTTTCCATATCTGAAAATGCTTCATGTTTTCTGCAAGTTATACAATTTTTTTTGGGGGGGGGTCTCCATTTTAAACTGATGGAAATCTTTAAAATTACTGATAACTTCTGACAAAAGCTGATTCCAGCAAACATTCAGTGTTGATGAATTAATGTTTAACCGCATATGAATGAAATTCTAATGTAGAAGAAATGAAATGGAAACAACTGAGATAATACTTGTACTGAGATATTACAAGCAAAATTGCATTCCACAAATTTTCTGTTGGGCAAGAATCATATAAATTAAATTACTGAATATATAATTAGAAATTAAATACAGTTATAATGTAGAGTCATAAGGTTATTTGAAGCAAGAGACATGAAATATGCACAGTGCCCTTGGTGAGACTCGAATACCAGACTTCCTGATTGCCAGCCAGATGAGTTACACCATGAAAGTTCACAATAAGGAGGCAGATAATTCTTACATATTCCCCCCTCTTAAAAGGTGAATGAGAAGGTTGGGGACTCAACTGCCAGCTCCTGGTGGTGATGAATTACTGTCCGTCACCTTTTTAGTTCGGGTGTCACTTTGTAGAGTCATTAAATTATTCAAAGCAGGAGACATAAAAAATGTGCTATGCCTTCACTAGGATTTGAACACAGGACCTCTTGATTGCCAGTTTTACACGTTATTTAGTTATATCATGAAGGAAAGCAGTAAGAAGAGAGAAAATACCTTACAATAAATTATTAATAAATATGTTTTATTGCTTTTAAAGTTTTCAGATTTTAAGTAATTTACAGATTTGATTTTAAAGATAAGTTCTTATGCCTCATGAAATAGCAGCACTTCCGGGAGTTGAAATTTGCCAGGTGACATGAATGCAGCCCTGGTAACATAACATAACACAATGCAAAACTACAGGGAAAATGGAAAGCTATAACATATTTAACTTTTTCCTTAAAGGTTGGTATTAAAACAGTGCAATGTTAATATTAAATGAATATGACAGTATTTATTATAATATGTTTCACAAACTGAAATCTAAAATATCATTACAAATTTCACAAGTATTTAGAAATAAGCATGCAAAATATTTTATTAAATCAATATGAGCAATCACTCAGCATACATGCATACGAGAAAACGGCACAGAAATTTAAAAAAAATTTTCTCAATATTTGTGGCTAAGGGATTAATGTTATAAAACTGAATTTTAACAACCTTTAGACTACAGCTAAGTTCCATTTTACTTCCAAACCGATCTCTCTTTTCAATATGATCAATCTTTTCTTTCAGTCCCTCTTGTTTCCTTGAAAGTAAAATTACAAAGCATTATAATAGATACTTAGAGAAAGAAGTGAATTTTATATATATGTATGTATACTTAATCTTAGAAATAAGTGAATCTTTACTATATACAATCAGTCTTTGAAGAAAACTTTTAGAATACCATAATAAATGAAACAGAAGATTAAAATTGTTACACTGGACCATAATAAAACAAAATTAAAATACACTTATACGATATTTACGGGAAAGTAATTTTTATCCACAATATTGGGAACAATGTTTATTGTACATTTTATTTAATTTCGAATTTACAGGCACTGGTTGTGTTTGCAGATTTTATTTTGAGTATTATGGTATAGATCTTTGAATACTAAGTTAATTGACACTGGAATTTTAGTAAAAAGCTCAGACAGAACCAGAGATATGCATAGAAACGGTCCTACTTACCAAGCCTTAAAAACAAGTTTTAAAGTTATGTCAGTGGCACTCAGGAAATTTCAAGAAAATGCATTTTTATAGGCCCTCGTTTAGGAATATATATATGGAAGGTTCACATTAACTTGCCTTTCAAGCCCTGGATTACAAACATCATTGAAAGCAGACTTTTTCTACTGTTGCAATGTCAGTAACAAGAGCTTTCCTAAATAAGGTATTCCTGTCCTGAAATACTCTTTACCCAACTGATTATGTTAATATCTGCAACTAAAAATTTGTTTTAAGTAGGTCTGTGGAATTCTTTTAAATTTTGAAAAAGCTACTTTGGCAAAAGTAGCTTCTTTGAAGCTTTCAATGATTTTCTCTTTATTAAGAGTATTTAAACTTATTTTCTTTCAATGAAACATCTTGCCAATATCTAATGAAAACTGAAGCTTAAGTCCACATTCATTCATCACAGATCACATGATTTGTTTTGAATCAGTTCTACAATTTAATATAGAATGATTTAAAAAGCCCTGCTTTGTCATTTTAGCACTCATTACCTTGTTTTATCAGCGGAGAGCTCGAGCAGGCAGTACAAAGAAGAATAATAAGCTCAAAAAAGAATAATCAATTATAAGTTGATATCAGTTTCACCAGCTGGGACACTACCTCGAAAATTTTGAAACTCTTAATGCAAATGCCTTATGTTATTAAACTGAAATGAAAATGATTAACATTAGAGACTTGACATTATATGCAGTAAACTTACACTTGAAATCATATATATTCAGCTGATATTAAAATGTGCCACTATAAGCAAGGTGATCCTATATTCAAGTAATCTTTAGAATGAAATTTCAGTGCTGCCCCATGGGTTACAGGCATATTTGTGCAAATTTATAACTTTTTATCTTCCCTAATAAAAATTTGAAAATTAAAATTAATTTCAAGAAATTATTACTTAACTAGCACAAAATATAAGAAAAAATAAGATATACATATGTATGTTTTTAATAATACCAGTAATAAAAATAAAAATCAGTTATCACAAAAAGTGCAGTACAAAAATATACTTTCAACTTTTGATATTTACAATGCAATGCAAGTGGTTACACACTTAATCTCCCAGTAATTCTTAATTAATTCATTTATATATAAATAATGTTAATGTTATTTTATATCATTATTATGTCTGAAGAAGGTTATTTGGGCAATGTTGATTGCAAGTAATCTTTTATTAATTTTAGTTCTGAAAAACATTTTTGCCTAGAAGAATAGGATATAGGTAACATTAAATAAATATATAAACATGAGAGCATTTGGAAATGTTTGTTTCTATATAAATTTTTATAAGTGAGAAGACACACACACAATGCATTTGCAAAATTTAAGGAGTGACTTCATAAAAAGTTGAGATATAGAGAGAAGCCTTCTGCATGCATTTCATCTAATGTCTACTTTTCGTAATGCATGCATTTCACCTTCTTGACATGTTGTAGAGCTCTTGAATTGGTTTGCAAAATTCTAATCTTGGAATATTTATTCATTTCATTGTTCCAGTTTCCTAAATTTCTGAAGCATGGGTGCCTTTAGAGCAAGTTTTCATTTAAGAGAGCTGAAAGTTGTCATTTATTTAACTGATTAGGGCAAAGATGAGGCTATTTGCCAAAAAGAAGGGATGCTTTTGTAGAGGGTTTCAGTATAAAAATTAATTTGCAATTGATCAAATCTGCCTAGTCGTGGTATTTACTATTAAGAACAGCTGCAGTGTAAGAATATTTTCGCATACAGTCAAAAGTCTTTAATCCGGACGTCCATAATCCAGACCTCAAAGCTACAAACTTTCTGTGCATATGCGTTTACGCATGCGCATAATACCTTTACTCATGCACATATTCGTTTACGCTTGCACAATATGTTTACGCATGCTCATTTAATGTATAACGGACGGTATAAGCTAGGCTAAAATTATCTAATTATCTATTTCAGTTAATGTTGCAGATTGCGTTGTTCCTTAATCTTCTAACTGGATCCAGCTTATTATGTTTTTCAGACTGTTAGAGCAATTTTATAAAAGTAAGCTTGAACTTTCGATTATGTCAAAAAGAATTTCTGATTCTGGAGCTGCCAAAGGATCTACAAAGCGAAAGCATGTTTCGATGTTCATCAAACAAAAAGTGGAATTGCTGCAAAAAATGGATAAAAGCATATCCTTTGTTTCTCTAACCATTCCGAAATCTGTTTATCAATTTCAAAATAAAATTTCTCATCATTATAAATATCACGACTACACATCAAATAGTTTTCTGGTTGCAATTTTCTAATTTCGACTATGCGTAATGTGCGCGTTAAAAGAAATGTTTAATAAAGTAAACAAATAAATATTAAGCTTTTTTTTTTGTAAATTTTGATATCCTTTAGATCATAATTGTTTTTTATTTCATAAATTACGGTTTCATATTTTTAATTTTATGATTTCTGCATGCCATCTTACCAGATTTAAATTGATGATCTATAATCCGGAATCGCCGAATTCCCGGCGAGTCCGGATTAAAGACTTTTGACTGTATATATTAAGGGCACAATTGCTTTCTTCAGGTTCCTGACTTCTAGAAAAAGTATAAAAAATCTCCCATTGGTACCTGAATTAAAATTTGATTAACGATAATTCATCACTACCTGAATTTGGTCGAAAATATCTCATGCTTCTGTTCAGTCCTTTTTTTAAATGGGAAAAATGAAAGGATTTACCAAATTCACACAAACTGTTGTTATGTAAATAGTTAGTCCACACAGCTAGAAACTGGAAGATCTGTGATCTGTTTCTTAATTATGGAACAATTAATTTCTCTTATATTCTTGCTTCAAAAATGTATAAAAAAGCTCTCTATAATATTATTTGAATCTGTTAACATATATTAAAACTTTCTCTGAAATGGTATGTTAAAGTAAGATGTCTGATAAATTATCCAATTGCTGCCTTTAGATTTTTTGCTGCTAGAAACCTTGCAAAGTCAATTGCGTCTTTTACTTAATTCAACTCAAGATAACTACTAGATATGTTAATACTACACTGTAAGGGAGAAAAGTCTTTTAGCTCCTTACCAGTCTACTGTTACCTTTTTATATATGAGTTTACTAAAGTTACGCAATCTACGTATTAAGTCATCCAAAAAATCCTGCAATTTTTCAAACTGATGTGCTTTTCCTTCTAATTATTTTGTTACTGCTGACAAGGAGTGACCTTTATTGGAGCAGATGCATAAATATGGTCTCTTTTACTAATGCTACATAATTCTATGATGTGTTGAGGCATAACTTTTGTTTCAACGATGTGATAAGAAAGGGTAATCCAAAAGTTCATTTGTATCATTTATACGTATTTGGAAATATAAAAAAGAAGAAGTGCTAATCAAAGACTTCTTGTAAAATTTGTGCTGTATATGGATAAAATACTGTTTTTGATGACACTTCAAAGGTGATTTGAGAAGTTCAAGCATGAAAATTTCAGCCTTGATGACGCCCACTTTGGATGACTATCATCTGAAAGCAAGAACCTGTTAAGAGAACAGGGTTCGTACACATTTCTGCACATGGAAATTAAGTACTTTTAAGGATTTTTAAGAACCATTAATGGAAAACATTAAGGAGCTATGAGCAAATGGAAACTCAATTAATTCAGTTAAAAATATTATCTATGCCCGAACTTCACTTTTGTAATACCATCCTAAAAATAAAATAGATCTCAAAGTAGGATGCATTATTATTAAACATAGCTTAATTAACATAATTATTAATAAGTTTGAGAGTAAAATAAACTTTATGAAATTTATCAAGTAGCATTAAATATTTTACACTTATAATAGTTGGACATATTTGAAAGAAGATAAGTGACAGTTTTGAAAGTTAGTAGGGTTCTGTCTGATGCAGTTAGTATCATAGCTTCGTGTAGAGTTCCAGGGGTTGCAACCTAGTTAATGCAATTTACGTTTCCACTAAAGGACCAGATGTGATAAGTTGTTTGGTATTATTTTAAGTCTTACTAGATGGAGAAAATAAGTTTTACATGAATTTTTACATTTTTATGTTTTATCTTGTGACCACGGTACAGATTAATGAAAGGCAATAACTCACTTTAATATGCAGAAATAATTTTTAAGGGTTAGTTATAGATAATTAAATTAGGTAGTCATTATGGATAACCTTAGTCATTACAACCTTAGTCCTTATGGATTTACATGGTCACTATTACATGTTATTTAATTTTTCAAAATATTTGTTAAAAAGCCCTATTCAAATCACAATGTAATAAAATTTCGCAGTTTAAAATACATGTAATTTATGACATCGATTCATAAATGATATTAGAAAAATTACACATTTTGTAGCCACAACACTCAACAAAATATTTATACATCTTTTTGATTTAAAGGCTTCCTAGATATTTTGGCTAATTTATATCGATTTCCTTCTCTTTAAGCATCTTTCTGACAATTAGAAATTTGTCTCAATATGCAAACCAATGTTCTCACTAGTTTCTGTGTGCTTTAAACTTGTCAACCTCTCCACAATGTATCTATGAGGGTTTACTTGATCTGATAAAATTAAATAATCCCCCCCCGACAGACGTGAAGCAAATTATCACTATGTGTAAAAGTAACTACAAAGTCAGACCAAAGTATAAATGAGCCTCTTATTTTAAAAGAACTTATGCAAAAGCATGTTCTCATGCTAAGAAAATAGATTACAGCTAGTAGTGATGTAATTAAACAAGAAGAGTCGATTTAAACTAAAAACGTAGACTGGTGGTCAAAGACTATACAATTAGATTTAAGCTGGCTAAGTAATTCTATCATCATAACAAATTTGAATGTCGGCAGTAATAATGCAAAGACAAATAATTACAAATTATCAGAGCTGGCAGGAACTAATGCAGCGACCAAGCGAGGCTCAGAAACACACCGTCTTGCACTCCAAAAACCTCAGTTTAAAAACTCTCTAAGTGGTTTGCATTCTAGTGAGGAAATAGAAATGGGAAATTATAGAAGGCTAAAATTATAAGCAATTAAGCAACTTAATAATAATAACTGTACATATCTTTGAAGAATAATTTTCTTTCTCTTTATGCATTCAGTTTCCTTTTCTTTTTAGAATTTTTGAATTTAATTAAAGATTCCTGTTATTCTAAAAAACTAAAAGAATTTAGAAAGTATAGAAAAAGTATATTTCATTTCTTTAGTTATATGAACATTCAGAAGGAATATGAAATATATATGGTAAGGGCAGTTACAGACCTGGTGCGGCAGAATTTTTAGAATTTAGTGATACACCGAGCAACAAAAAGAACATCTAGAAATGGCAAAACTTTTAGAATTTACAGCAGGCACTGGAAGCAGAATTTAGGATCCACAGAGATTACATCACAGGGGGAAATGTCTAGTGCTAGCCCTGTGTATGATGCATTAAGATGTATTAAATAAATCTTTAAAATTGTCAGTTCTCAATTTTTTTGTTAATAAAAAATTCCTTTCTATAATGCCCGTCCATGTGATAAAATTAGAAGCATTTTTGGTATTTTCCATGCTTCGGTCTAGTAAAAAAGTAGGGAAGATAAACATGTTAAGAAAAAGGTTCTAGTATCAGAAGTAAAACATTCAAAAATTATGTTTTCGATGTTCTTCCAGATGTTCTCCAAAGAAATTCATTGTAAACTTTCTGTAAAATACAACCATTATGTGTTAACACCGTGGAAACATTTTTCATTTTGGAACGTTTTTCTGGAATCTTCTAGAATCGTGGTTCTATAAATCTTGCCTTTATCCTTCTAAGCTTTCCAAGTTGCAGTGTCAAAATCCTAAAGAAAAATTACCCCTACCAATTCTGTAACAGCGAAAAGCCAGAAATATTTTGAAAAGAAAAATCAGAGGGAAGTGTAAAATTCGTTTTATAGAGAAAATTAATGCATATTATGAGAATTCTGAATATTTTGAGACAATTACATGGAAAAAACTCTTACCATGAAATAATTTTTAAAAAACATTTTTAATCAGTTAGATAGCTATTTTTCTAAGAACTGTTTCCTAAATTGTGCTTTAAGCATACCTTGTTTATTTTTCAGATTCAAAATATTATGTAATAAGTGGCCAAAATTGAACTTTATAATATGACAGCAAAAAATAAAAATATTTTATTTTAATGTTATTTTTTCTTTTTCCAATATATTACCATTATTATAATGAAATTTATCAATGTTACAATATTTTCTAAAAAATCGTCAAAACATTCCCAGATCACGGAATTAAAAATTTTCTATAGAAACTATCATAAAATTGCCAAATTTAGAAAAGTTTAATAAAAGAATTCACATTCCCCCAAAGCAAAAAGTTGTTTAAGAGCTATGTTGTTTAAGTTGTTCATTAGAAAAAATGAAATAATTTCGAAATACTTATGCTTCACTTCTTGCTCAGGAACTCAAGTATCCCAACATTTATTTATATTATATCCAAACAAATTATAACATATGAACCCATTCAAAAGATAGCCATACTTATCAGGAAATCACCAAAAATATTCCTCCAAAATGCTAAAACCAGGTGCAGTAGGAACTGACAGAAATCACTCTTATACAACTGTAATCCTAAAAAGGGATAAATGTCCCCATTTTTTTATCATCAATAGATTATCGACTAATTTCATGCTAAATGTTTTTGCTTTAATTGCAGCCCACAAGAAATGGCTCAGTAAACTGTTATTTCATTTTAATTTGTCTGTTTATGAGATTACTACATTCTTCAGGGTGATACTTTGCCCAAACTCAAAGGAATACTCTTGCATGGAGCACCGTTAGGTAGGTAGACTTAAGTTTAAAAGCAGGGTTATAAGCAGAGTGAATATGCTAAGATCATGGGCTTAGCCAAAAACAGCCTGGCAGAAGGCATTATGAGAAAGTCTACTGTTATAGTGAAAAACTCCCTTTCTCATTTCAGAGAATTTTCTTTTCACTTTCTCACAAAGAATTGTCAAAAACGTTTTGTTTAGCTCTTAACTGATACAAAATAATCAGGTGCAGTAAGAACTGATAGAAATCAATCTTGTACAACTGTAATCATAAAAAGGGAAAAATTCCCTCATTTTGTTTTTATCATCAATAGGTTATTAACTAATTTTGTGTTGTATATTTTTGCTTTAAACGTAGCCCATGTGAGATGGCTCAGTAAACTGTTATTTAATTTTAATTTGCCCGTTTATGAGATTACTACATACTTCAGGGTGATACATTGCCAAAACCCAAAGGAATACTCTTGCGTGGAGCACCATTAGGTAGGTAGACTTAAGTTTAATAGCAGGGTTCTAAGCAGAGTGAATACGCTAAGATTCTGATCATGGGCTTAGCCAAAAAGCTGCGTAATTAGCTGTGAAATTTCAAATATGTACTCCATGTCAACATTTCCTTTGATACTTAAAAAATTATCATTGCTTTATACCTGATTTGTTTTGCTGTGTATTCTTTGCCTTGGTGAACATAAATTTTTCCACTCTGTGATTTGGCACTTAATTTTAAAGCCATATTAGAGGGAATGAGGGAAGGCTGAATGTGACTTACCAAAAGCTGTAACGTTTTTAAAAATATTTGAGTTATTTTTTATATTTTGAAGCATGTCAGTGGAAGTATTTTCTTGAATTTCTTTTGTTTAGGAGTGAAGAGTGTATTTTTTTGCATTCAAAACTGTCATATAAAATTTATCAAGGAGTCTTTTACTCTATGTTTACTAATTTAGCCATTGCTTGAATGTTCAGCTGATGATTTTCCCTACAATTTCACAACATTTTGGGTGTGCATCTTGGTCTTGTTTCTTTCTTCACTATTGAAATTGTTCTAACCCAAATTTCTATCTTATTTTGAGAACCTTTGTAACTGAAAATGCATCTCCAAGATTATTATTCCAAGCAAAAATAGCCCACAGCCACTTTTTGAATACCACATATATGCTGCTGAATTACATAATGTTGAATACTATACCAAAAAGAAATCTAATAAATTCATTTTAGCGAAATAAAGGCAAATAGAAAATAAAAATACTAATACGATTTTAATTTGCATCTGTCTTTGTGTGATATATATTAAAGCAGCCATTAAAAAGTATTTTTCAGAATAATAATAAAAAATAAATGAGGTAATAAAAAAGCACTTTTTAGAGATAGAGCAAAAAAGTGTGAAAAAATAAGTTGTCAAGATAAACAAACTCACTGTGAAAGTTCTGACAATTCTTTATATAAATTCTTCAACATTTTAGATGTATCTACGCTCTCTTGCTTCTGTTTCTTGTTAGTTGCAGGAACTGAATTGCGCTGAATGGGAAGTTTATGACCACAGGTTGCTTTGTTGTGAGATTTCAACTTTGCAATAATATTCTGAAGATTAGCAATTACAGAATGGCTATCTGATGTAGACTACAATTAAATTGGAGAGGGGGAAAAAAAGATAAATTACAGTATTCACTCATTTTTAACTTCATAAAGACATTATAGCTACATATGTGACAATATACAGAAAAAGAACATAAAATGTAGAAAAGTTAGTCCAAAACTGCCATGAAAATATTTCTCTCTCTTTCCAAAGAATTCAATATGATAACCATTAAAACTGAAAAATTTGCTGTTGCTGATTATTATATGAATAAAACAAAAAGGCACAACTCAGTTTCTTTTCAAGAAAACCTTGCATAAAAATATGAAGTTAATCTTCTGTTCTCAGAATTCTTTTCTTTTCCACTTATACTAGGGCAGCCATCCACTGAGTAATAAACTGACTGATTTTCCAACTTTATTCTTCATTTCATTTCAGATAATTTATTTGGAATATTTCATAAAGTGTTTCATTTCTATCTGCTAAATTGTTAGCTTTTCCATCAACCAACAAATACTTTTATACTACCAATTTATATAAAAGCAAAATTGTCCAATTCTGTTTTTAATTCAATAAATGATCAAAGTTTTAATAATACTGCAATCTAAAAATTTAGAATTAAATTAGAGTTTGATTTTAAATAGGCAGGAATTTGATAGCCATTGTTATTACAGCTACATATATGCCTATTCTTTTTTTTTTCTATTGGCATATTCTAAACTGCAATGAGGGTAAAGGCCAATGCGTGCTAAATAGTATCTCTAGCTTGTAAAAAAATTTATGTATATAACACATAATTTGCAAAAATTATAAGATCATTATATGGCAATTTCTGTTCTTTTTCTAATAAGGCCCTTTTCATTTCAACAGTAGCATCATAGCCAGTTTGCATGAAGAATTTATTACTATTTTACATTATCTTTTTCATTTTTCCATGCTTTTGCCAGATTTTGATTTTGTTTTTAAAGTTTAAAAAAAATTTACTAGAAAACAGTAACCCTTCTGTACATTCTTCCCGGTAACCATCCTTAAACTTGATATTGCCACATAAAGATTCTTTTCACCTTGACTTGACAAGCACGCATTACTTTTTCTTAGGCCACTGATTTATATATATATGTTCTCGTAATTAAAGAAGTATTGGCATTTTATTTTATTATGATGTTATTAATCATTGTAGATAAATTGTGATTAATTTTTTCAATATTTTATTATCGCATTTTAAATTAGTTTAAGTAGATTATACTACAAAGTACCTTCTACGAAATTTGCACCATTTTTACATTTGTTGGTATCTAAAATACATAGAGGTAGTCTCCTTAATTTATCAAAACATGCATGAACTAATTTAAAACTGATTTTTTAATTACAAAGCACTTGATAACTAGAGGTGAAACAGAAACATATTTTTGAGTACTAGATGCTAGTTTGGATGTCTGTTCTAGCTGATCACCTCCAGATGAATTTCAGCGAGAGATGGATCTTAAAACTGCATCAATTAATTGTTTTTTAATACTGTCTAATTAAATTTTTTTTAGTTTAAAAAATGTCACTCTTAGCCAAAGGCTGTTGACATCCCTACTTCACAGTATATTTCAAGTCTTAAAATTTTGGTTATTAAATATTTAATATCTTTTACTTTCAAAATTATTATAAATTGCCTATAATCTGCTTTAATTTATTATATATATGTAATAATGAATTGACACAATGACAGAATTTAGTAGAATAATTCACCAATAATTATGGCTGGAGTGGTAGAGATAGTGTCAGCACATAGCTTGACTGTGTGACATAGTAGATAACTGAAATTCTTTTGAAGAATCAACAAAACCACTAGATAGTCCCAGAATCTCTTTATCTGAAAACATGAGACGTTAAAATACACATCATTAAAATAGAAAGATAAAACTTAAATAAAATTATAAAGACCTATTTCTTTTGGGTATTCAAATAAATTAATATTAATCTCTTTTCCGATTATATGATGAAGAGGCAAGTCACACATAATAAAATGCTTCAGTTGAAGACTGTTAAAAAACAGACAATACAATAAAAAATTACATATGGACAAAATGTTGTGACAGTTAAGACACAATGGCTCACTCTGCAATGTTAGGAGGTACTTATGAGCGATTTGGGTATGACGGATTCTTAAACGAGTTATCAAAACTTCCTCCCTATGACTTTAACTCTCCCAAACTTTGATTCTCGGTTTCACACTTCTTAGCTTGTTATTAAGCTGAATGTCCCAGAGTAACTGCTATTTATTTAAAATTTTCAATTTAATATACGACCTTATATCTGAAAACACAACAGCTTTACTGGATACTTTCTTTGCTGCAATATCTGCAAGTTCGTTCTCTTTTATTGCAACATATCTGGGTACCCAGCAGTAAATAATATCATATCCTTCACTTAGACAAAGTTCAAATTCAAGACTTCTAAAACATATGAAATTAAAATTAGTAATTTTGAGCTCATATTTTTTTTATCTTTTATATATATTGAGAAATCTTGATTTATTAATTTAAAACTAAATGCTAATATTGTGAATACGAAACATAAAATTTAAACAAATAAATTATATTTTGTGTACAAGAAATAATAAATAGAAAATGATATCCAGTTGATACAAATCTTAATTGTTACTATTTATGGACTGATCATTCTAATTTTAAAATTATTCACATAAACATAAGATGAAGTGAAAAATAAAAGGCTATAATACTTTGAAAATTGAAGCAAATGAAATGAAGACCATGTTTTTATGTAATATTTTTATATTTTAATAAAAAAATATATACAGTCAAAAGTCTTTAATCCAGACTCATCGGGACTTCGGCGATTCCGGATTATCCGTTTTTCCGGATTATAGATCATCAGTTTAAATCTGGTAAAATGGCATGCAGAAATCATAAAATTAAAAATATGAAAACCATAATTTATGAAATAAAGAGCAATTATGATCCAAAGGGTATCAAAATTTACAAAAAAAAAAGCTTAATATTTATTTGTTTACTTTATTAAACATTTCTTTTAACGCGCACATTACACATAGTCGAAATTAGAAAATTGCAACCAGAAAACTATTTGATGTGTAGTCGTGATATTTATAATGACGAGGAATTTTATTTTGAAATTAATAAACAGATTTCGGAATGGTTAGAGAAACAAAGGATATGTTTTTATCCATTTTTTGCAGCAATTCCACTTTTTGTTTGATGGACATTGAAACATGCTTTCGCTTTGTAGATCCTTTGGCAGCTCCAGAATCAGAAATTCTTTTTGACATAATCAAAAGTTCAAGCTTACTTTTATAAAATTGCTCTAACAGTCTGAAAAACATAATAAGCTGGATCCAGTTAGAAGATTAAGGAACAACGCAATATGCAACATTAACTGAAATAGATAATTAGATAATTTTAGCTTAGCTTATACCATCCGTTATACATTACATGCGCATGCATAAAAGCATATGCACATGCGTAAACATATTATGCGCATGTGTAAACACATATGCACATGCATAAATGCATTATGCATTTACGCAGGCACAGAAAGTTTGTAGCTTTGAGGTCCGGATTATTGATCACTCTGGATTATGAACGTCCGGATTAAAGACTTTTGACTGTACAGGGTTTTAGGATTTTTTTTTAGATGGAGAGAATTTCATCTTGCTCCATAAAAGGAAAAATATAATACAAAGTTTTGAAATGCATCATAATAATACATTAAAATGGAGAATACCATTATTACGCTGTGTTTACCAACTTACATTACTGCATAATACTTACAGCTCCAATAATGAACGGCACATCAGAAAGTTTTAGAAAGTAATGTGGATGAGTCGACTTAAAATTTGTAGGCACAGGTTTTGAACTTTCAGATTTGAAATCGGCAGTATTATCTGTTTCATCAAATGTCTGAACTGCAGCAGCAACCTTAAAAAAAATGTCAAAAAAAAAAAAGGGGGGGGGGAAGTGAAGGGGAGAATTCAAATAAAATTTTAAAATTCAAGCTGGGTACATTTTTCATATTAATAAGAAACAGTATGGGCGAAAAGAATATGAAATTTATAAATAAAACACAACTATGAAAAATATATTAAAAATAAATTTTAAATATGAAAGATTATAACATTTATAGCAATATTATTCTCAAATTTCCAAAAGTACATAACTATTTTAAAAGCATAACTGAAAATCCATTTAGTGTTCATTATTCTAATATTTGTATTAATGTAATTTTTTAAAAATATGGTAAAAAATAAAAGAATAAAGATAAGTTAGTGCAGTAGTCTCAGATTCAAATGGCATGTGGGATGAATGCACAACATAAAAACAGTTGACAGGCTACCCTTTTTTTAATAAAACAAAAAATATTTTAAATACATTTTAAATCTTGCTTACTAAATATTTATCTAAACATACATAAACAATAATAACATCATAAATGGAAAAATTCAAATTTATATTTATTTTCTATCTGAAATCTGAAGTTTGGTACAAGCAAGACATTTTTTGTTGGTTGCATTTATTAATTCAAATATATTGTGATAGCTAAATATTAAATTCTTAGACTGATATTAATTTCAAATAATCCAAGCTCCTTTAATTAATAATTAAATAACTTACTTAAATTTAAACTAAAATAAGCAAATTATGAAAACTAAGTTTTTGAAGAAAATTTACCAAGTGAGACAAATTTCAGAATAAATAATCACAACATAGTCTCCTATTCACTAAATTTTTGTTCGACACATGAATAAAAACACATATGTTTGTATGTAAATAACGATAAATTTTTTTAATTTCTTACTATAGCTTAAGACTTGATGTCCTTTCGATTCTAATAAAGTTTGTAGCCTTGGTGAGAAATTACTAGAAATTATCTTCATTATGGATTGAAGATGCTCATCAGCGAACAGGGTTCTTAATAATTTTCAAGAGTGAAAAAAAAATTGTTCACATATAAATGTATATCCAAACAAAACAATTGTTCTTAGGTGCAAAAACTGGGCTTATTTATTTTTTTAAAATTACAAATAAAAGTTAATAAAATCTGTCTGTTCATTAACTAACTTACAGTGTGATTTATATATCATACTGTAAATTAGTTAGTTCCATTTATAGGTATCCTGGCACTTTAATCGTGTTCATTTTTAAGGCAAATGAAACTAAAATAAACTCAGACCTCAAATAATTAAAATCTTGAAATCTTTGTAACAAATGCATAATTGATATGTCTTTGCAAGCCACATAAAATTGCTTTGGAGGCCATCAGTTTGAGAACAACAAGTTAGTGGATATTTTACAGTTATACAATTTGCATATTTTTAAATTAACATTAGCCCATTAGAAGATTTTGCCCTTCTGTTGAAAAATATTTTGCCCTATAAATTAAATATGCCAAAAGGAAAATGTTTAACTTCAGAGAAAGTTCTTACTAAGATACAATAAGATGTGTTGATCTTGCTGCTGTATCTGTGAGTAAATGGAATAAATGATAAAGATAAAAACAAAGATGAACATATTGCTATAATCAATGATTTACCATAAGTTATAATATGTTCACTTAAAATTTATTCAAAAAGATGATGGGATTTATCAAGAACATAGAGTACTACAAGCTAAGAGAAAAAGAAAATCAAGAACTCTTTACAAATTTATGGATAAAATAAAAATAAAAATAAAAATAAAAATCTGAATATTCTACTAGTTCTATAGATTTGGAGCTAAAAAATAATTAATTAATAATTAACATTTATGATGTTACTTTTGTCTTCTGTTTATTAATCTGAGGTGCATTCCCTTTTTGCTAATCAGACAAATATTTATTCCCATCAAAATAAAAGAAGACATTTTATTAACATGCTCAAAATATGAAACATATCATTTGTACCCCTTTGTTAACACAGTTTGACATTTGTCAATATAGTGTTACGAATTTGGTATTTAAAAAGCTAATGTTAGTTCAGTTATAAATTAAATGGTTTTATTTCCCGCGCAGTGCAGCACGTTACAAATATTTAAAGAAAGCTAAGCTGGAAAATTGAAAATACAAGAGCACGTGCATTTAATAAATATCTCTTTTTTATTTCGAGAAAGTACTAGAAAATTCTCGTGTGCGATTTTAAAATCTTATAAAAGGAGGAAACCTCTCAGTTCATTGTAGTTACTTAGTTTGTTGTTTAGAAAACTGCTCTTGTTGACTGTAGCGAATTCACGGATTAGCTTTCTTTAGCTGCTTTGAATTAAGTTCTATTGCACGTTTGAGTAGTTAAAAGGAAACTACTGTGAGATATTGTAATACTGCACGAATATTTTAGGAAATTTAAGCATTTTTATTATGATAATAATAAAATTTTGTTCATTTTTCATCAGACTTGTGCATTCATTTCGTAACGAACCCGTACACACGCAACAATTTTTGGTGTCAGGAGTGGGGTTTTTGAATGCCAATTACTAGAGCGATGTAGGAACATTTGAGGCAGCTGATTACTGCTTTTGCTGCCTTCCAAGAAAAGATGGAAGCTGGCCAAGCATCATTTAAAGAACAGATGAAAGATTCTGTTAAAGAGGAGATGCATTCCGTTAAAGAGGAGATGAATTTGGGCCAGGAATCCGTTAAGGACGAAATGAAAGCCATTCAAGCTGGTCAAGAAAAGATTGAAGCAGGTCAAGAAGAAATGAAAAGAGAAATTACCTGCATAATAGAAAATAAATTTGAAGCTATGGAAGGCAGAATTGACACAGTTGAAAATAAAGTTGAACAAATTGAAGAAAAAGTTTCTTCCGTAAAAGATCAAATTGAAGAAAGAGTTTCTTCGGTGAAAGATGAAATAGAAGAAAGAGTTTCTTCTGTAAAAGAACATATAGAAGGGAGAGTTTCTGCTGTGGAGGAACGAATTGAAGGAAGTGTTTGTGCCGTACAACACCAAATCGAACAACAAATTGATGATAGGGTTTCTGCAGTAGCCAAAGAAGTGGATATTTTAAAGAAATTTGTAGCGACGGCAGGGAACAATAATGATGGTTTTAAATTTTTACCCATGTCTGCTCGTCCCTCTCTGAAGTTATCCACTTATGATGGGAAGACCTCCTGGCAAGTGTATAAAACACACTTTTCTATAGTGGCGGATGCGAATGGATGGGATTCCCAAACTAAGGCCTGTCATCTCGCCTCTTCGCTGAGAGCAGACGCAGCGGATATATTGCAGACACTTACCGAAAACCAAAGACTTGACTTCGAAACTCTATCCGGCGCATTGGAGTTGCGCTTTGGCAAGAAATGTTTAAAAGACTACAGCAGGCTTCAATTAAAATCCTGTCAACAGAAGCCCATACGAATCACTCCAGGAACTCGCCATGGATGTTGAAAGGCTGTCCCACCTCGCCTTTACGGAGTTCCCGAGAGAAACGAGGGAAATCCTGTCGCTGCAATATTTCATCGATGGCATCCGGGACCCTGAAAGACAGAAAGCACTGCGAATGGCGGATGTTAAAGATTTGAAAAGCGCTTTAGTGTACGCCATGAAATTCGAGGCAGCCCAGCAAGCCACTCGTCGAGGCTGCCACCCAGTCAAAGCTGCTCAAGTCCAGGAGCCAGGGGATCAATTCACCGCTTGTCCAGATGATTTAACTAGACAACTGAATGCCTTGAGATGGAATATTGGTGAGAAGAAACCGACTGTTAAGTGCTGGAACTGCGGTGCTGAAGGACACATACGACGAAACTGCAGAACACGCCAGGGTACGGATGTTAAGACCGCTCCTAACAAACAGCAGAGAAACTAATTAGTGGCCATCTCGCTGGGCGGAGGTTGCCATATAATGAAAAGCCCCAGTTTAAAGCGTTTCAGATTTCTGCAGTGAGAGGCAGCAGTAATGGACTTTTCATAATAGGACATATTAATGGAGTTCCCTGCAATATGACGATAGATACAGGAGCCAACTTTACCATCATCCGAAAAGATTTGGCTCAACAAGTGGGGAACAAACTTATCTGGACGCCGCCCTGCGTTACCCTCCAGACTGTGTCCGGTGAGAAAATCAACATCGATGGAAAAGTAAACGTTAACATCACGTTTGGAAGTGCCGCTTACCATCACACAGCATATGTAACAGAGATCACTGATTCTTGCATACTCGGATTAGACTTTCTAAGGAAATACAATTTTCCCTTGGACTTTAAAAATAACGAATTGCATTTTACATCTGAGGACATAGCCCTATTCAGAATTAATAATGGAGTAAAATCTATCCACAAAATTATAGCTCAAGATGATATCACAATATCCACAAAAACCAAGTTCTTACTTCCTGGATCCATGGCCGAAAATAGAAATTTCCGCTACGGCATCATAGAATATCCCAATAACTGTAATAGCCCAAAAGGAGTACTAGTAGCCTCAACTCTCGTCGACCTATCCAGGAACGGTTATCCCGGTGGGAGTTGTCACCAATGTAACTGAGAAGGCGCGAGAGTTATTAAGAAAAGGTGAAGTGGTTGCAACATGTACTCCAGTAACCAGCGTTGAAAAAAAAGAATAACATTCCCAGAATCCGTGTCCTCCAGAGAGCATTACATCGGAAGTTATTGCAGAATACACAATCAAATGATGAAGAGAGAAATACTACCGATCGCGTCATTAAAGATCTTCAAGTTGTTTTCTCCCGCTCGTCTTCTGACGTGGGTCGAACCCGTTTGATACACAACATAGAATAGATGCCGGCGATCATCCCCCGATCAAGCAACACCCAAGACGTCCACAGTTTGCTGAAGGTGACAGGAAGAGGTGCGAACACTTTTAAAAGGATTTGGAAGAAGGCGATGTCATCGAGCCTTCAGCGAAGTTCCATGGGCATCTCCCATCGTTCTCGTCAGAAAGAAAGATGGCTCAACAAGATTTTGCGTCGACTATTGCCGGTCGAATGAGGTT